GAAATACACCAGTTTCACGATGACTAACCAAGTCAAGAGACTTCTTTTTTCCGTTGTATAAGAGAGAAAAGGATAAGTAATCTTTCTCTGGGCGAAGGTAACGCTGGAAAACAGCCTATTGCAAAAGATTAGATAGTTTCTTAGATATGCTTGAAAGCCAGGAGGAATTCTTTATCTTTCCAAATAGATAAGAGTTTTCATATCAAGAACTGTGCAGAAAAGAAGACGTCTTACAGTTCTTTGCCCAGGGATAATTTTAGATACAGAGGCTAACTTTAGTCGCTTTTCACCGCTACTCGATATCCAGATCAAAGATTTTTCATCCTGTACAACCAACACCAACGAGCATAACTTTTGTTTTTTTCTTTCTCAGATGAAGCAATTGTCCGAAAAACAAGTGTAAAAGAGAAGTGGTTGAGCAGACAGCAACTCACACTAGACAGTCTAAAAGGATAAAATTTCGGCTTTCCTTTCCGACCATATTTCAAAAGTTGTGTTCCCTTCTTCAATGTAACCAATGCCTGCCAAAATGTACAAGATCCGCGTAAGAAAACGGGGACTAGCTACAGGTAACACCAAGTTTAAGACTGCATATGCCCTTGCATCACCAAGTTTCAATGGTCATTTTACACGGAAGTTTCAAAAACAACAATTGACTATAATTCCATTCTTCGATTGATCTATTTTCCTATAGCTTACAATGCCAAGGTCTTGCTTATTCCATAAGCCTAAAAGAGTTCACTAGAAAAACAAATTCAATACACATGTTCTATAAGGACAAATGACACGGGAAGAATGAGGAAAACTCACACAAACAATCCCCCCAAACTACACTGAGAATTCGGGTTTCAAATCCGGTGATAGATTCTTGGGAAGAAATCATTGTTACCAAAGAACAACAATAAACAGAGACTTGAGATTTGCTGGATTTTTCGGAAAAAAAAGTTGAACAAACAAAACAAAACTCCAAACTTCCAACTTTGAACTTCCTCTTAATCACCCCACTTCAATCGCTGAATGCGTAATAAATAATAATTACTCTGTAGTAACAAGATTTAAGCTTTCTACTGCTTAGAACAAAGGATTATTCCCAAGTGATCGTAAACTTTGCAAAATTGAAAGAGAAGAAGAAAGATGGAGAGAGAGAGAGAGAGAGAGAGAGAGAGAGACGAACCTGTTCAACGTTTTGGTCAGCATTACTGTAGGTCACAAGATCTGCCATTCCATGTGAAAAAATCACCAGAGCACCACCACCCTCTTCGATCCTTACCCGACGGGTCGTTCATCATCTATACGAAAAAGCCCCGGAGGTCCTAGCCGCCGTGGAAACCATCAATAAAAGCCGTGACCAGCCAGTGAACCAGTTGCAAGAGAATTAGAGAGAGAGAGAGGGAAACGTAAACGAAAAGCTTAAAACTTTCAAGCAAGATGGCACTGTAATTGACCTCCCAGATCTACCGATGCTTCTCCAAGAACGAAACTTTAATAATAAAAATGCTATACGATCTTCAGAATTCCCCTCCAGGAGTTAAATTTGATTCGCAAGTGCTGCTTTCGTATGCTGTGAGAAACAATTCGCCTCTCCGGCGAAACAAAGGACGACCTACCGGAGAAAATAGTGGTGGGGAGAGAGAAAATCCCGGCGGAGAAAAACGACGGAAAAGCAAAAAGGAACAAGGAGGAAGACAAGGAAGTCAGAGACAGCGATGACAGAATGAAGAGAGAGAAACAAAAAAAAAGAAGAAAAGAAAGTGACGACGGTGTGAGCGACGCAGTCAGAGACTGTAAAATACCAATATAAATAAATATATACTCCTTTTTAACATAAATTTATATACTTCTATTTATTACTACTAATAAATAAAGAAACTGTCTAATTAAAAACTCTTCTATTCAGAATTATTTGATGTTTTATAAGGTTTTTTTATTTAGAATTATTTGATGTTCTCACTTTTCAATGTCAAATTTAATGAATTTTTATAATTTTTAACTTTTTATATTCTGCAGATTGTTTTCTTATTGGCGGAATGATATTTAAATGGATTATAAATAATATCTTTAGTATAAGAAAAATAAAAATTAAATAAATTCTTAAACTGTGTGCAAAAACATTATACATCAAATCATTCTGAAAAGAGAGTATTTTATTCTGTTTTTCTTTTGGTACAAAACTTCTTAAAATAATTTAATATTTTTTAAAAAATATAGAGAGAAGAGGCATCCCTATAAGACTCTATTAAGGCTAGTGAAAAACAAAAAAAAAAAGAGAAAAAGAAAAGTAAAGAGGCGTTCCCCATGCAGTAGTACATTCGAGTAAATCAAACTTTTATAGAATCTTTAAAATAAGCATGTTTTGATTACAAAAAGCACATTTTGGTTTGTAACTTGAAAGAAATGTGCTTGGGAGGTGAACGAGAAACCTAAATTTTGGTGTTTGGGTGAATAATGGTTAGAGATGGTCTAAGATTTCAAAGAAGTAAAAGTAATGCACACAAACAAATCACAAAGTCGATTATGATCTAAGTCCGAATTGATTCACACAAATAATTTTTTTCAGTATCAACAATTTTTATCATTAGTTGTAATAAGGGAATGCGATACATCCATCGTATACGTATCTGTTTTAGAGCTAACAAGAAGACCATTGAACAAGACAATCCACAATGTCAACTAAACCAACTTTTAATCCGTTCTGAGTTTTTTAAAAACACTCTTAATTAAATAGCTATCTGCAGCGTTTGTTTATGGAAATTTGTGTTTGTTTAAACATGAATAACATTGTTGACTTTCTTGCTTGAGAATGGAATATTAATTAATTTAATCGTCGTCTAAAAATGAGTTTTTTCAAAGGATACTTCCGGTTTAGATCATAGCGCGGATTTAATTATGTCGGTTTAGTTAGTCCGATCTGAAACTCACGCGCTAAATTGAGGTCTATAATGGTCATTTTTAAAGAGGAAGCAGTTTATTCTTCGCCGCAGACACGTTGAACGCTAGTTGTCGATTGTACTGAAAAGACAAAAACACCCCTAAGGGAGGTAAGTGGGCCTGTTTGGTTTGGTCCCTACCTCCACATTTCGGGGAGTTAGTCGAGGAGAATGTATCACTTTTGGATGAAAACAATAATATGCATCTCCAATTTCTCTACTTTTTCATCTTCTTCATTAATCAATTGATTATTGTTAATACTATGATTTATTATTTCTTTGTGTAACATCCTTTAACTTCACCGACGAATTATATAATTTGTGGATATAAACGAATATGCATGTGATTTGTTTGGCAGCAATACATAATTACATAGGATCTAGCTCGTCTCGACATTGTAAAAGCAAATCGAAACCTTGGATTGGATGATGCACGCCCAAGAACCAAGACACAAAGTTGTAGTTCAATTTTCCATACATATGTATTGAATACGCTTTATTATATATTAATATATTATAATACATTATCATGGATGTTCAATTGTATATGTCCTTTAGACTTAAAATCAACATCTCATTAACAATTTAAAAAAAAAAAAAAAAAAATCAACATCTGAACTACATCTTAGATTGGGAAAAAATGCACCTTGAATGGAACAATATACAAAATTGTCTTCCGGAACTTTGTGACTAAGTAGTAATTAAAGACACACATCATATACTAAGACGAAGAATATTTTTTTTTGGAAAAATAGCTCATGTTGAAGTTTATTGAAGCGTCAATGCGTCATGAGATCTCATTATAATACCACTTGAAACATATCAGCCTAGTAATTATGTTATTGGTGTTTTGAGAAATTGAGGGTTAAAATGGATTAGAGGACCCATGAGAAGCTCAAGATAGTGTCTCATGAAAAATTGAAAAGTCTTTAACAAAAAAGGTCTCATGAAAAGTCCATTAACCTATAATATTAGGGTTCTTAGCAAGTAAAGATTCATATAATTTTGGATTTAGAACATCAATATAATGTAATTCTGGGAGTTGCCAAAAAGCAACTCATTTCTGTCTGAATTGTATGATATGTAGCAATCAACAATCTTTTAGTTTTTGGTGACACACCTATATCTTTTCCTTTTTTATTTTATGCATTTGAATAAAGCTTATCAGTGAGCTATTTCTATTTCATTCTCAGAAAAGCTTTTTGAGTATAAATCTATTTTTGTTTTGAATCCGCTAGCAACAATTATTAGTAAAAGTAGGTTCCATATCACAAAAGAAAACAACTAATAAAATCATGTCTTTGATGTAATAACAAAAGAAATTTTGATAAAATTGATGTAAGAACAAGGAATGCGATGATAGATTGTATGATTGGACTTTAGAGCAAATAAATGAATAAATGATGATTAAGGCAAAGGCTTGAGAAGACAAGAAATGAAAGCTTTAACAAAAAAAAGAGAAGAAATGAAAGTTTGGGTTTAACGAAAAAGAAAGGCTCGAAGGAAACATGGAAATCTACTTGCTTTGTTGGTTGTTGTGTATGGGCCCCTCTCTCTTTACGTATGACATCTCCTCATTTTCTACCTATATACACTTGTACATAAACAAATAAAAATCTTAATATTTTGTCGTGATATTTGTCAGCTATTAAATTGCTTATTCAAAAGTTCATTCATTGTGATTCTGCATGTCACCAAGTCATAAATACTACCAGACAACATCAAAGTATATTTTGTTCTTGATACTCCTTAAGAAAGCACCTACAACATATACACACGCGACAATCCGTGATTCACCTTAATTACACACAATTCAATAATCAGATTGTAAATGCTGCATTAGTAATGTATTCGAAATCCTTATCGAGGACAATACATTGTTGGACACCTTCAAAACAGAATTTGGATTGAAACCGGGTCATATGGGCCCAAAAAGACAAATTTTGTTTAAATGGGTCTACGATTCGATGATATAGTGGCCCGTTAAACCGGCGCGGTACGGATCGGGTCGTTGAGAATCGGATCTTTAACTGAAGCTGGGGAGCCATGAATGTCAATCACCAATCTCGAGGTCGATCAAGGAGCGATTCGAAAGAGAAGAGCGAGCGAGATAGAGCTCTGTTGTATTTGAAACCAGATAGAATCGAAGCTATCCACTGGAAATAGGGCTTTTGTTCTTCTCAATCTCCTTCTTGTAGCTTGTGATTCCTGGATTACCTGTTTTTGTCAACTTCCATGGCGGATGGATACTGGAATCAGCAGCGACAGCATCCTCCTCCTGGTGGTCCTCCGAAACGTCGCCGTTCCGATTTCGGTAAGCTCATTTCTCTTATACTCTCGCTAGTTGGTTTCTCGATAGCTAGAAGAAGCACAATACGCAGTTTCAACAACTCTTTGATTGAGGCCACAATTGAGCACCTTGATGATGATGATCAATATAGGATACAGAAACACATGGGGAATAGTCTGCTTTAGATAGATAAACCCTTCCCGTAAATAAATCTCCAGATTCTGCATTTTGTCTTCGCAGAGGCTCTACCATCTGCAATGCCTTCAGGCCATGAGATGCACGGTGGTTATTTTCCACGGGATGAGGATCTTGATGTTCCCGATACTAGAACTATTGGGTCTGCTTATGATCGCTACCTACAAAGCGTGGTGGTACCATTCTTATTGATTCATTTCAGTATAATCTTCTGGTCCATTCTTCTTTCTTTGTTGACCTGGTTCATTTTTCCTTTGTTCTTGATGAAGCAAACACCTTCTATGCAATCTGGAGAAGCAGGTCATCGTAATGGTGTAGCCATTGGAAGAACAGGAGGTAACGGGCAATCAATGGGTGAGTTTATGATGAGACGTGGTGGAGTTCTCCCTCCAGACCACGGTCCAGATGGTCGTGCTTTGGGTTTTGATCCACAAGAATCTGTTGATAGGCGTAACCGTGAACCACTTCCTCTACCTCCAGATGCATCCAACACTCTATATGTTGAAGGACTTCCTTCTAATTGCTCAAGGAGGGAAGTAGCTCGTATCCTATTTCATGACAAGTTTTCTTTTTTTCCTTTTCTCGAAACTAACCTTAACGGAAACTATCTTCTCTCCACTTTCCTTAACCGAGGTCTAGATATATTTCGACCTTTTGTAGGATATAGAGAAGTGAGACTTGTGACCAAAGACTCAAAACATGCAAGTTTCCTTGCTTCACTCACAGTTCGGATATTGTTGAAATCGCTTGTACCAGAAATTATATTACTTTGATAAACATACTAAAGGGTTTGTATTTATGGTTAATGCAGCGGAACGGAGATCCTATTGTTCTTTGCTTTGTTGATTTTACAAACCCTGCCTGTGCAGCGACTGCTCTGAGCACCTTACAAGGTAAGTAATAATCTTACGAAATCTCTTTCCACTTGATTTCTCGTTCTCCTGGCTTCTTATTCACATTTATCTTTAGGTCTGTTTTCATTGTGTAACCTTTTTCAGTTGGATTGTCTTGCTATTTGCTATAGCCTGAGCCTTAAGTGGCAAATGCCCTCTCGTCCCTTAAACCATAGACTTTATCCCCTGTGCAGCTATGCTCTATATCTCATTTTCTTTTAAAAACCAACACATTTCGCAGGCTATCGAATGGATGAGAGTGAGCCTGATTCGAAGTTCTTACGGCTCCAATTTTCAAGAAAACCAGGTTCAAGACCAGGACAACGAGGAAGAAGGTAATGACTCAGGGACATTGAGGTACATCAACCAAATGAATTTATTGTTTCTCGTCGGCTGGTTTTAACGGAAAGAGCCATCCTCGTTCAAGTAGAAACTCAATGAAACCGAACATTACATCACTTGTTGTATCGTTGAAGCTACCTGAATCCTGAGAAACAAAGATGCGTGGAGAGTGTAGAATCTGAGGTGATAGAACCTTAAAATGCTATTTTCACACATATAATATATATATATATATATATATATATGTATATTATTTTTGTTCCCTCCTTCTGTTATAAAGTTGTGTTGTCGATATCAAAATGTTTATTACAAAAAGCTTGGTTTAATAGAATTTTATACGAAGAGGATTTTCTATGGCTAATATCAATAAAACATTATTTGCTCTGCTTTCTTCATAAGCACTGTTTTTTTTTACCTTCGTTGTCAATTCATATTTTGACTTGTATTCCTCTCCTTTTTGTTTTCTCCTCCAGTTTAGAAAATGATTGATTTTTTTTTTTTGGTCTTTCAATAATTCCTGTCTATGTATTAGATGAAGACGTGTTTCGGGTGTGCTGTAGTCAGGGACGACTTGTGTGATATTTGAGATAAGTTGTAAAAGATTATTTATTTAAATCATTTTGTCGTCTAAATAATGTAATGTTATCTTGTTTCATTCATTGTCTGAATGTGGAAATTTTCTGTACACTTGGACAAACAAAGAGACGAACAAAAGCCTTAAGAAGACTTCATGAAACTTCCTTTGCTTCAACAATTTCTTACCGTCTAAATTCTACCATCATACACAGAGCCATTTGCTACTCATAAAATAGATGAGGAAAATTAATTACACATTATCACTATCATCAATTTACGAAAAATGATAATTACTAATCTCCTTGTCGGAAGAGTCACACCCCAAAAACGTATAACCATAACAATGCTCTACTCCGCGTCTCTTTTTGTATTACATATCAGATAATCAGAAATCTTTCATGTTTGTTGTCTGTCCCCTTTCACGATTTTGAACTTCTTCTTTTTTTTTTTTTAATGTGTACATGTTGTCGAGTCTTCCCTATAAATGTAGGACATACATTATTAAAACTGAATTTCCCTAAACCAAAAGAAACTACGTTAGGTCTTGGTCTAATGGTCAGTTAGTCAGTACCTACTAGATCTGTGCGTGTAGTGCCTTTCACTATCGTTGAGTCTTTCCTCAAATTACTTTTATATAAGACTTAGATAATGAGACAAGACAAAATTAATATAAGGGATGCATAACAAAATTGTTCAGAAAGACGTATGTATACTTGTATAGAAGCCGCCTGGCCCCCACGAAGCAGTGAAGTCTACGAACCCCTTCCAATGCTTTCACACGGGGAATTTATTTGGTAATATACTGCAATGGACATCTATAAAAAAATACTATATTGCAATGAAAAACGAATATATTGTAAACTTCAATTTTTGAAAAAAAAAATTGTAATTGAAGGCAAATCTTATAGGTTATGGGATCAGGTGATTCTTGGAATAAGACTACATAACATGTTGAAATTCTGAACTTAGGAGGATATATTCATGCTTTGAACCAAATATAACTCGCCACAGATGTATTTAGAGAAATACGTACAATAATGGTTGCATTAGGATTAAACAGATTATGGTTCCTTTAGCTTAAACCGATAACTACCATCAGCTGTATGAATGACATGATTCACTACAAAATAAATTACTTTTAAACTTTTGGTCAGGTATATTTTCTGTATAAAGAATAACTTTCTCCACTAGTATTAGCGATTCTATTCCATTTTTTATATGAAAAATCAATCAGGGAAAAATAAATTTTACTTAGATTTTTGCATGAGCTTTTGCTAAAAGTCATTGATTTATTTGGAATATCATTATGAAAATCCAAGCACGTCTTTTTTTTTCTCCTTTTAATATAATCATGAGTGTAAGGGAGAAAGCAAATAAAGCAACACAAATTTGATGTTCTATTATTCAAAAAGTAAGTTAGAAATGCATGAAAAAAAAAATTACTGGGAAAAATACAGATGATAATAGTGAATCAGTGATTACAAATTCCTTTTTTGGTCGACAGTGATTAAACATTCATTTGAAGAAATATTTACATGAATTAATCCAATTTTGGTACACATTTTTCTTCTTCGTTTATTGGAACACATTAAGGTCAGACAAAGTGTGCATTACGATAGTAATAAACTCCAAAGGTTTTTATTAGGGAGGCAATAGTAAAAATTAATATGTTTGAATCGATGTGTGTTCTTTCTTTTTCATACATTCCAATTTGAATGTATATATGATGAAAATTATTATTTAAAGTATTGATATGAATATATTATCTCCAAAGAGGAGAAAAAGAAATCAAATAGCATATATATATGCAGCTACGACCCACGTTGGATATTACATATTACCAATCAAATTAAATACCCTTTTTGGTTACTTTTGTTTTCCGTGGTTGGCTTGGAGCCCTGGACTTTGAATCACCAAACGATGTTTGCTTTTACCTAATTATCTCACCAAATTAGAGACTTTTTTGAGTAAAACAGTTTTGAACTTAAAAGATTCTCACACACTACTAAAAACCGTTTAAATTTTGTGTGGAATGCATACACATATATTGCCGCTAAAGGTAACTTTCTGATTGTTAAGTATATTTTTATTCTGGAAACAAATCTAGCAACAAATATATATATATATATATATATATATATATATATATATAATAAAAAATGTTAGTAATAATTTAAAAAAAAAAAAAACCCAGCAAGGCAAAAAAAATTTCCGCAGTTTACGTATTTTTATCTTCATTCCTACTAGTTTTTTTTTTTAGATCATTCATTCCTACTAGTTATAAACTCATAATTATTACTTGATTAATAAAATTTTATTATTATTATTGATATTGTGTTTCCATATGATTTTCGAACCATAAAATATTTTTTACTCCATCACTAGTACCATGTAAAAATAACAAAGCATATTTAAGTTTGTTTAAACCAACTTATATATGACGGTGATTATATATTTATATTAAGTTTGTTTTACGTCAATTTCTTCAGCCTCAAAATTGTCAAGATTAGTTATTTAACTTTCGACGCCTAACCAAGATAGTCAACTTTCGAGAAAAATAAAACTATATAGAATGTTAAGTTGTTGATTTGTCTAAATCCTAATCCAGCTGGTTACTTACCCATTTGATAAAAATTGCTCAAACATTTAACTTCTATTATCTGAGATGTTTTATTGTCTAATGTTTGACCAAGCCTTAACTAATTTTCAAGAAGACAATTGGCCTTGAATTGGATTATCCTCCACCTTGTATATTTATTTCTGAAACACCGGTTCGTGAATCGTGATAATGTTATTATTTCCCAATATGTTAACATTATAGTATATAAATTAAGATACAATGTATATACGTTATATCTTTCTCGTTGAGTTGTTTACATCATTTCAAAAGTAAGCATATTAAAAAGAAACGCGATATGCCGATATGACTATTTGAAAATTTCAAATGCTATTAAAAATTTTGGTCATAACATCTATTTATCTTGTCTGAATCTTAAAACGTAATATTAGATTCGAGTTAATGTTGATCAAACAATAATTAGAATAAGAGATTACAAATGAATCTGAGTAATGACAAGAAACGTGTTATAAAACGAAGAACGTGTGAGGCAAAACCCCAAAAAACAAAGCAGAAAATAAATCAAAGATTGACTGTCACCGGCACGAGAGAGAATCATCTGCATGACGGACCACCTTCTCTTTCTATGTTCCTTCTACATTCAACTCGGCCGCCTATCTTTTAAGATTTTAACGCGTTCCTTCTTTATTTGTTCTTGTCAAGAACAAATTAAAATAGGATGTCAAAGATAAACTCGAAATTTGATTTTTCTTTTACTTTTGAACAATGTAGTTCGTAGTTAAAGAAAGAAAAAAAAAACCTATTCAAACTCGTATATTGTATTTTGTTGAAAATAAAATAAAAAATATTTGGATATAGAAAAAATAGTATTTCATGTGCTGGTAATGGACGAATGCTTGTTTACAGCATTCAGAATGTGTAATTCTCTCGTTTGTTCCCCTCTGTGGGATCATCTATCTTTTTTACGCACCATTTTCTAGAATAATGTCGGTCATTTTTGATTTTTATAGTTCCTCTAATATATTATGGTAAAATTCTGTTACCTGTAGATTCAATTCAATGTTCTCTATATTTTATTTGATATGAACATGCAGAACATATCGATCAACGATGACCAAAATTATAGAAGGGGAAAAAGAAAATCAATAATGTAGCCCGAAAGAGACTAACCTCATTTTCTTTCTTTGTATTATATATTCAATCATTATTGTTTTTCTTACATATGACATAAATTGCCATTTACCATGAGCGATCGAAGTTAAAAAAAAAAAAAAAACCGAGAAAGTGAAATTGAAAAGCTATATAAAGGGTGTGAAGGGGAGAGAGTAGAGCATCAAACACAAAGAGAAACACATAGAAAATGGGGTCACCAATGGCTTCTTTGGCAGCAACTTTGCTTGTCTTAGCATTCTCTCTTTGTTTTGTATCGGAAACCACCGCAAATTACTACTACTCTTCTCCTCCTCCACCGGTCAAACACTACACTCCTCCGGTTTACAAATCTCCACCACCACCGGTTAAGCATTACTCTCCTCCTCCGGTTTACAAATCCCCACCTCCTCCCAAGAAACACTACGAGTACAAATCACCTCCACCACCGGTTAGGCACTATTCTCCTCCTCCGGTTTACAAATCCCCACCCCCACCAAAGAAGGACTACGAGTACAAATCTCCTCCTCCACCGGTTAAACACTACTCTCCTCCTCCGGTTTACAAGTCTCCACCACCACCAAAGAAGGACTACGAGTACAAATCACCTCCACCACCGGTTAAGCACTACTCTCCTCCTCCGGTTACAAATCTCC